AAAGGAAAAAAAAAAAAAAAAAAAAAAACACCTGTTACCAGCCAGCTGCCAAAACCAAAATAAAATTTACTGACTGACCACCACCTCCCAAAATCCCAAAGACCTCCCCATTTCTTTTGTTCCTGCATTTTAGGCAAAAACAGAAATAAATACTCCGAATGGTTGCCCTAAGCAATGCCAGAATAGCTGACTTTACTTAAAATAGACCTTTCCAGTCCTGAATCAGAAAGAATGATCGATCAGATAGCTTAATATTAAATGTTACATGACTTTGCATTCACTGAACTATATACAACACTTTCAGTAAATGCAACTACAAATTTATAATGTACATACATGTACCTTCCTCTGGTTATAACAGCTTTCAAAAGCTTCACAAAGCCAAATTCAACTTTACCGCAAAATACTGAATCAGTAAAATTTCATCTCAACTTTATTGGTTAACCACTAAAAAGTCAAAGAAAGTTGCTCCTTTACTATTGTGTCCCAATTCTTTTAAGACCCCCAAATTCCACCCCCCAAAAAACACAAAAATACCAGGAACTCAAATACTCAAACTGTCTCCAAAAATGATAGGTATAGAGCTGTGGCTTTCAAACTTTTATTTATTTAATTTTTTTTTATGACCAGTAAGGAGATCTTAACCCTTGACTTGGTGTTGTCAGCACCACGCTCTCCCAAGTGAGCTAACCAGACATCCCTATATAGGGATCTGAACCCATGGCCTCGGTATCATCAGCACCACACTCTCCCAAGTGAGCCATGGGCCGGCTCTTAAACTTTTAAAATCATACCCCACATTAAGAACTATTTTTACACTACAACCCAATAAAAACATTTATGTATATATACTTGCATGCATATACATATATATATATATATATAAAAATACACACACTTAAGCAAAAGTCTCACCAAATACTTAACCTTATATATGTGATACATAATGATGGGGGTTTTGTTGGGGTTTTTTTCCTACTCTGGTCTACTTCATTTGTTTTGATGCTAGTGAGACCCATTAAATTGATTTCAAAACTTCTTTATGGGTCCAGACCTACAGTTTGCAAAGCACTGGTACAGAACACAAATCTTTACAATTCTCAGTTTCTATATAAAACAGTGGTCAATAACCTTGTTTCTCACATATACTTAGAAATAACTGTGGTTTAATCTGCCTGTGCTGAATATCAAAAACCCAACCCTTAAACTAAACTTACCATACTCAGTTTCCTTCACACAAAAATGAAATCGCACTACCAAATAATTTCAGCATATATGTTAACATGTTAATCTTAAAAACTATTTGATTCCAAAGTACAATACAATTCCAGTGCCAAATCTATAAGGCAAAGGTGCTTAGAACCCAAGGACAGAGTTCGATAGTCAGTCAGGTAGAACCTCTGAAACTAGATGCGAATGTTTTATATACGTCTGTTTTTCTGGAGAATAAGTCTTTGATGCTCAGATTTTCTAAAATGTTCCTTCTTATGTTCCCCAAAAAGTTCAGAATACCTTTGCTGGGAAGAAATCTTGAGATTAGTTACTAATGGCTACAGACACACCTAAACCTGGGCAGAGATTTAGAAATAGTCAACGTACACCAGATATCTGGTTCTAACACCTAAATACTTTTCTTCCTAAAGTCTTTGTGACCTTGGCTACCAGAAATCAACAATTTACAGCAAATATTTACAAATCCTAAAGGAAAAATAATTCCTTTTTTACCTATGGTAGGACAAGTCTGGGCCTAGACTAATTCAAAAAGGAAAAGGCATCCTCCTCACTGTATCAGACCTTGCAGAAAGTTGCTTCCTATTATAGCATAGCATTTGGTAACTAAGTGCTTGCTTCCTAATACCTTAACTGCAAGGCATTTTCAGCATTTAACATTTTCTTGTAAATAGGTGCTCAATAACCACTTTTTCAAGATAACAGGACAAAAGAGGTGATTTTTGTGTTTTAATGTAGAGCTCCATAAAATGACTTATCTGAGGTAAGACAACTATTTGTATTGTATTAACAATAAAATGTTCTAACTCATAAGCCATCACTTTGCCTCCACTATACTTTTACATGTTTCCACAGCGGAATAAAAATGTCCTTCCTTTTATTAAGAATAACTAAACCATAATTATCTTAATGTTTGAGGTGAAGTTTCACAGCTGTCTCTATCAACTGCTTGAATCCTCTAAACTTCAATTTTTGCATGTATAAAATGAGTAACATTCAGGTAAGAATTAAAGGTGAATAAATGTTAGCCATTTTTCTTGGCTAAAATCTACTTCAACTAATTTACTTTATTTAAGTAATTTGATTTTATTTTCAAACTAATAATTTATTAGAGTTTAGGGTCCTTCCCATATCTTTAATACATACTCATAATGTGAGGATGACCCAGCCGATTTTTTTTTTTTTTTTTTTTTTTTTAAA